AAACAGCTCACCGGAACGTTCTTTTCCTCCTGTATTTTGTATCTGAGCAGGGCGGCAGGTTGGCCGGTCACATCCACAACCAGAAGGGAACCGTTTACTAACCAGAACACCAACGTGGGAACCAAAAATGTACCTGCAGCAGAAGCAACAACCTGTTAATCATAACCTAACAATCATTAACAGTAACCTGTTAACCTTAAACTTTAACCTGAAAGCAGAAACACAACTTTTTTTGTGCTAGGCCTGACTCTATACTATGCACTTTGGCTATAGCAGGGATCGTTCACCTGAGATGTGTAACTGGCTACTTCCACTCACCAAGAGCTCCCAGCAAATGTTCATCTTCACCAAACAAGTCATACACCAGACCCCACTGGTGCTGCCAGAAACTGTCAGATGCCTTCCACAGGCCCTGCACATGCCTGTAAAACAAAGACATGTTACTTAACATGTACATGTACAGGCAGCTGCTGCTGGTGGCCGGCTCAGTTGTATAGTCGCCAAATGTGTCAGTGGGAGTGTTCAGGATTCACACGGCCGGTACACGGTGAACAGTGTGAGGAAATAGATCAAATGCAGCTATAAGGATGTTTCAAAATATCAAAACGGGTAATTAAAGTAAACGAGGCCGCGCCGGTAAATGAGATCCTGTAGAATAATATTGAACCCTATCAGTTCGGTTTGCAGTCGCGTCGCATTACAAAATCCAGGGGGCCAACACATGTAGTCGGCTCCCAGTTCCTTGACCTGGGGTAAGCCACTCCTATAATACCATAAATGGCCTTCTAGGCGTGACTACATACCGCTCAGGGGAGACGTTGATTGTCAGGGTGCCCCCGGGAGTGACCCGCGGCGTACAAGGAAATTCATAAACCATTGAATACTTCTTATTTTTGTTACTATGTGCCTTGCACTTGGGAGGGGGGCAGGAAATTTCGATACATAATGCATCAAAAAAGACATTTTATGACGATTTTACTTTACTAACTTTAAGGTTTGTGATAAACTGGTAAGTAGCAATCTCTGGGTTACATTCTGTTACGTGTGTTATCGACCAAAAACAAGATATCTCCTCCAAACTACTCACTTAACAGCAGAAGTCGTGTAGCCAGTACACCGGGCAGCCATTTTTACAGGTTTGCGATAGCAAAACCTGTTCTATTTTAGCTGGATTTTATGGGCGCCGCCATTTTGTTTCCCGTCATGCAATGGGGCAGGTCAAAGTTGAGTGAGATGCATTGTGGGACCTGTCACCGGGTTACAGTGTAAGGACGACACCTAGCGGTAGGTTTGGAAAGAGCAGTAACTGTAAGCCTACCTGGTTGTGTGGTCATTTTGGCAGGAGTGTATAGAGGCGATGGCTTTGACGTAATATAGGCGAGTCTGATTGTGTTTAGCACTTGACATAATTTTCTTAGCATGACGGGAAGGAAACTTGGCGGACCCAATGCGGCGGAACTTTAAAGTTTTTTTTTTTTTGATGATGAGATGGTGAGGCTTTGGTATTAGTAGGGTGGTCTTGTGGATCTTGTCGAGGCCGAGCCTAGGGACGACAGATTGTCCTCAAGTACGGGGTTAGTAAGTGGTAAATGGCATGACGTTTTGGTATTAGTAGGGTGGTCTTGTGGATCTTGTCGAGGCCGAGCCTAGGGACGACAGATCCTCCAAGTACAGGGGTTAGTCTGTTCAAAGATGGGATGAAGTTGGGGGATGTGATTTTGTCCATCTGAATATTAAGCATCCTGAAACCTGCGCTGCCTATCATTCATAACAGAATAGTCAGTTTTTGTCTGACCTAGGACCTAACTCTAGGAAGTGACAAACTGAGGAATGACACAGACACTTGCTTTGGTCAAGACTTTTAGACTTGACCTCTGACCTTGCAGTGGGAGACACCTGTACTAGGTCACCTATTACAGCTGTACAGCCAGGGAACTCCTGTTGCACATGATCATTGGATATTGTACAAAAACTATGCAGATGTCCTGCTATAAATACCATACATCCCTCCCTTGTATTATTGTATAGCAGTGAATCATTAGTTTGATGTACTCGTTAGTTTGATAACTGGATGTACCGAATAACAGCAATCAGTTTCGATTACAATATAGACTGTCTATCATCTTCCAGTCTCAAAGCCTGGCTACTGGAGAAGCCCAATGTAATAAAATAATTGACAATACAATTGAACTAGTTGTTGTTACAATGACTGTCGTTCTTTATGCTCAAATGTTTTGTCGTTACTGTCCTTGTAGTTCTACTAGGACATATGATGGATCCAGACAATCAAACAATTTGGTCAAGGGGTGGTCCTCTGGCTAATTTCTTCAGACATTATGACATTTGGTATCGATCATGCAAACTCTATTGTCTTTTGCGTCCTTATACTAGACATCGAAGAGCACGTTCAGATCGGCCTCGTCGCATCGGCTGTGCCAGGAACTGCCGTCACGTCGGTCTCAGGTGGTGTGATTGGCCTCACAGGTCTCCCAGGACCGGGAATGGATGTCTCAGGGCTGGGGATGCAGACGTTGGTTGTTTCGGGGGATGAGGGTGTGTCCGGCGGTGGCTTGACGTGGACGGTCTGCTCCCTAATGCAAGAGAAGAAGAGAAAGTGCCCGGGGAAGTACATCCCTGGCCAGATGGATGGGTGGCTGACATGTCAGGTCCATCAGTGGTCAGCTTCCCCGGATCAGGAACGGAAGAGACGGTGCCCGTTGGCTGTCGTGTGCCCCGTTATGACCATTCTTGGCCGAGGGTCGCTGCATGTACACTGAAAAAAAAAAGAAGACATGTGCCCCACAGTTTCAACCTGACAACCAATTGCAAACACTGGCGACGTCGACATTGACCCAGAACATAGGCTGGGTCAACCTATACATGT